ATTATAGCAGTTGCAGGAAACCATTACAATGCACCCCCCCGCAACTTTATAATGAAGACCTTCCTTTTGCTTTGCTTAATTATTTCAGTATTAAGGATTGAATCCAGAACCACTCACCTGTTAAGCTAATGCTTTACCCACTGTGCCACCCCTACCCCCTTTTTCTTTATTGTCTACCATTCCTTGAATATTTTGCCCTTACAACTTTATTCATAAATTAAAGCTGAGTAAGGCAAACAGAAACTACTCTAGATAGGTTAAGCAGGAAGAAGTTGAGTATAGAGAATTACCTGCTGTAATCTCTTAGAGGATGGTGTGAGAAACTAGCTAGTATTATGAACTCAGGATGTGTACCAAAGGCAAGAAATTGACACCTTGAGTCTTAGCAGCTTCCAGCACCTAATGAGGTTATTCTCAGGAAGATTCTTATGAGATATGAGCAAAACTTTGTACACGTTACCAGTTGATGTCCACACATATGACTCTAACTGGCCTCAGTATTATCATCTTACTGTCTTCCCAATCAGGTTTCCCGTTGGCGACTTTCATTTTATGGGCTTAGCCTCCATTGTAGTGGAGATGTAACTATCCTGGAAATGGTGAAGCTGCTCATAGATGCTAGCAATTTTCCTGTGACTATGAGACATTTGAAACACTCCATGACATGGGAATTTCCCTAGGAATCTCATGCTGGGGGAAGAAACCTGATATGAGTCAAAGTAGTAACTTGCCTCCCAGGAAGAGATTTTACACAGGTTGTGAGACTGCCTTGCCAGAGGACTAGAACCAAAACAACATGGGTCATTAGGAGAGCATACCCTGCTTACCTCTGCTTAACTTTGCAGACTTAAACCTTGAATATTGTTCTTCCCAATGTTTTTCTTCCACAGTAAATAGGTATCTCTTCCACTATCTCCTGTTAGTTGCCTATTGAAACAAGGAACCCACAAGAAATGAGTATTTCCTGAAGACTTTCAGGCTGGAAGAAAGGACAAGGTAGATAGAAGTGAAACTTCTATTCCAGAAAGTAATTTCACATACTTCTAACAACTTGTCAGACCACTTTACAGGATGAGACTGAAGCCTAGATAAGGAAGGGTCAGTGGTAGGTAGGGCCACGCTTTGACCAGGACTGCTTAGATGTGCATGTCTTTGTCTGTCTTCCCAGCTTGAGCCATCTCCCTGGTCAGCTCTTCAAAATTTTAATCTACTGGTCTTCTCTTTGCTTAAGTAAAGTTGTTTGATTTTGTTTGTCTTTCACTTGGGGGTGGAGGGTAGGTATCATTTGTTCCCAGATAAAAGCACTCAATTTTACAAAATTTACTCAAGTGTATATATCAGACAAAAGAATTTAAAAAACATAGTGAATGTTTAAAAATAAAGAAATGGAACAGAGATACGCCAGGAATTTTTTATTACATAGGCATTTGGATAAGGCCAATAACATCAGATAAACCAAAAGGTAATAATGTTATTGATCTTGCGTGAAACATTCCCAAAGACATCTCTGGCCACCAGTCTACAATAAGCCAGTGAAAAGAGCAAAATTAATAATGGAAAACAGAAAATTGAGATTTATCCAAAGTGACCAGAGATTCCTCCAAGTCCATCTTCCTGATCCTGAAGTGAGGTCCAAGTTCAGAGGGTTAAAAAATACACACATCCAAGCAGTCCAGGTCAAGGTGTGGTTCCACCCACCACTGACCCATCCTTGTCTGGGCTTCAATCTCATGGAGTAAGGTGATTAGAACTATGTGAAATCTCTGTCCTGAAGATAAATTTTCCCTTGTCTTTAGCCTTCTCCTTCTCCCAGCATGAGATTGCCAGGGAAATGACATTTCTTTGTGGTCCATTATTTCAATAGTCATGTAGTTAGACTGACAGACACAAGTATCTGACTAAAATATCTTTATTGTTGACAGGCCAGGTACAGCAATGCAAAATTTCAATAATACAATATGAATTAAAAGAGCACATCTGTGTGGTGGTGGCACACCCCTTTAATTCAGCACTCACTAGGGAGGCAGAGACAGGAGAATCTCTATAAGTTCAAGGCCAGACTGGTCTATAGAGCTAGTTCTAGGACAGTCAAGTCTACACACAAAGAAACCCTGTCTCAAAAACACACAAAAAAAGAAAAGAGAATACAAGAAGTTGAGAGAGAAGACTGATAAGGTCTCAAGGGGAGGGGATGAATTTGATCAAAACATTATGAAACTATCAAAGAATAAAAGCAAATTATATAAAAGTATACATGATAACCTTAAATATGTTTTCTCTCCTCTTTCATCTAATTCATTTGGAAATGCTCTATGATTCTAAGTTTTTGCTTGCCTTTTCATCGTTTTCACTTGTTGACTTCCAGTTTTATGAATTCTCATCAGAGATGATCACTGGGCTATTCTCTAAGGGTCACTGCTATTATTCTCCATGACCTCCACAAAACTCCCCTGAAAATTGAGGCCAAGGCTCCTTCTCCTTTGTTTCCCAGTGTGGAATGGAGGGGCTAATGGTGCCTCCCTTCCCTCCCTTCTCCACAGCAATTTGGTTTCCTTCCCTTTGGCGATTCTCTGCCCTTCAAAGTCGCCTTCTTCCCCCTTTTTCTGAGAGAAGCGCATCTGTCATCTTGGCCCTGGACTCTGAAGTTCCTTCTCCACAGCAGCATCACTTTCCAGGATGCCTGCTCTCTCTTCCTTTCACCATTGTCAGTCCTCTACCAAGAGCTTCCTGATCCTGGAGCTGCTTCCACCAAAATCCCCTCTCCCCGAGCCCCACCCTGCTCATTTGCATACACCCCTATCTCTGTCCATTTGATTTATTTAAAATGTGTTCAAGTTGTAGAATGCTCCATTCATAAATTGAGTTAGAAGTTGTATCTCTTTGTTTTATTGTCAAATGTCTATGAATGTCATCTCTGGCTGTCCTAGACTGTCCCCACCATATTCTTTGACCAAGCTGGTCACAATATCATAGCCAATTAGATGTTAAAGAAAGGCTTTTGAATGATGGAGGTGATAATAACTCAAGCTGGAAAGGACTTTGGAAGGCCACAAAGCCTGTTCCCAGTATACTGAGACAGACTAAATTATCCAATATAGATGGGGATTTATCCAATTTTCAAAGATTTCCAGAGAGAACAATTTGACTACCTGTTCCAGCTATTAACTGTGCTGTTAGAAAGCACTTTTATCCACATAGTCTCCCTTCAACACTGCTTAAGAAATCAACACTGTGCAAAAATATAGAGTAATGCATTCTGAAATATGAGTTAGTTTCTTTATACACCTGAAATTTATATAGCAGTTTCCCCTTCACATTAAGAGGAGTTTTTATTTTTATCTGAAAGAACTGCTAAGCCAGAACTTTTGGCAAGGGGATTGGCGTTCAGGCTAAATGAGTGCCTTGAAAAGAGGATAGATTGTATGAGGTAAGAAAAATAGTTTAATTCACTGTGTGTACTCTTGGGGTGTTACTGCACCACTGACTTAGAATGCCAAGCGCCATTTTAAGATGACTTATATATTGGGATATTTATTTCTTGAAAAGACTCAACTCTCTGCATTAAAATGGTGAATTGTATTGTTTCCCTCATATCCTAGCAGGCAGCTGTTTAATTATGCAACTTCACCAGGCAGTTCTGTTTACCTCAGCATCATCCCTTTCACTGCAGAAATGAATTTTCAAGATTCTTACAATTTATTCAGCAAACAAGGATTGGGCCTCTCTTTGTACTTGGGTACTATAGAGGCTAATTATAGATTCAGAGAAGATTCTGTCTTGCCCTGCCAGGGACTTTAAACTTGAGCAGAAAATTTAGTCACGTAAATAAGGAAGATCGAGAAAGGGCTCTGGGCTCTGTAATAGGCATTTGTGTAAGATACAGGGGGACGTATTTGGTGCACAGCTTTCTAATAAGTATGCTTTAGGGCAGCCATCAATAGCACATGGCCTTGACTCTAGGTAAGCCCAGTGACAAATCTGGTCTTTATCACCGTGTAATCATTTGGAACATCAGAATCAACTATTGCAAATGGAAAGAAATTGGCCTTAGAGGTTGTAGTGATTAAATTACATGAAATAAACCATCTAACAGTATTAAGCAAATGGCCCATATCAGAAAAGTTACTTAACAAATACTTTTGTCTTCTCGCTTTGATGGTTCAAGGATATCATAAGAGACTATTATTATTTGCATGTTATAAGGAAGAGAAGCTCATCCTATAGCATCTGAATATAGCACAGACCCACCTTTGCATCCTTTTTTGTATCTGTAATGGGGTGTTTGTCTATAAAGACACACCAACACAAGACCTTGAATTGGCATGATAGAATTATAGCTCTTGGACTTTTGTTTCAGCATAACCGTATCTCCTTATCTGCTCCAGTTATGTGTGGTAGCGGCCATTTTAGCCAGTATTTGGTCATAGTTGCTACAATTCTGCCAGAGACAGTTCAATACAGCATCTTGGTTTGCAAGGTACAGGTTTCAGTGTTTGACCAAGTGGTGGCCATTCTAGCATGCTTACTTTCATTATTTACGATTTGCCTACAGATGCTGGCCCTGTGTACTTCAGATTCATATATAATTGCTGGTGTTGGTGAATAGCTACTGTGAATAAGCAAATACTATTTTTGAGAACTTATTTATTTTATGTATATGACTGCCTGGATATGTGTCTATATACCATGTACACGCTGTGCCTGTGGAGGCAAGCAGAGGGTGTCAGATCCTTGTGACTGGAGTTACAGACGGTACTTAGATGCTAAGTAGGTGCTGAGAATTGAATTCAAGCCCTCTGGAAGAGCAGTCACTGCTATTTCTCAAGCCTCTCTGACACATTTAATCAATCCTTTTTGGATTCTCTTTGTATTTTTTACAACTAGAACTTCTGACTGATAAAAAGTCTATGATAAGCATCATAATGATCTTGTTTCATTATGCAGTGATGATTTTTATGCAGTTAAATAAGGAAACAGTTTCATTATATATCAAATAGATCTTTCTTTTATCATTTTTTATTTTAAAACATTTTTTCTCATTTTACATACCAATCCCAGTTCCCACTTTCCCCTCCTCCTCTTGCTGCCCCTACCTTCCCTCCACCCTGCACCCATTCACTCCACAGAGAGGGCAAGGATTCCCATGGGGAGTCAACAAAGTCTGTCACATCACTTTGAGGCAGGACTAAGGCCCTCTTCCCTATATCTAGGCTGATCAACGTATCCCTCCAAAGAGATTGAGCTCCAAAAAGCCAGTTCAAGCACTAGAAATAAATCCTGGGCCCACTACCAGTGGTCCCACAAACTGATGAAGCCACACAACTGTCATCCATGTTCAAAGGGCCTAGTTTGGGCCTACACAGGTCCATTCTCTCCTACCCTGCTGTCAGTTCCAGAGTCAGTGAGGATGGCCCCAGTTAAGACCCAAATAGATCTTTCTAAACATCTTCTTTAAGTTGGTTTGGATGTTTCATCTTTGGACCTTCCTCATCTTCCTTCATTATCAAGTTTAATTTCTTATCCAAATAATAATAATAATAATAATAGTATGCCATAATGTTTCATTTTCTTGATGCTAGATCTACAATGACAGGGAGATGGATGTACCTTGTAGAATTTCCAAGACCTATAATGCCACATGAATAAAGAAAACAATTCAGAAACTTTCTGATTTTGGCATGAAAAACTGCCTTACTGTTCATTAATATTCTATTTAAAACCTGACTATTAAATCTCAAAGCTCTTTGCAATAGAAAGTAATTTTTCAATGTTTTAACCAAGACTGTGAAATATATTTAATAAAAGGGAATGAGTCTTTGTTTCTTTTTTGTTAACCAAGAAAAAACCACTCAGGTTCTCATTCTGGTGCTGGCATTGCAGTGTAATAACCATCATTACATTAAGTATCTTGCTGATAATAATTATAAACTCAAGGTTATCCACTATGAAAACAATGGTTTAAAAGTTGTTTGCATGCCTTAGTTATTTTTCTATTGATATGACAAAATACCATGACTGGGGAAACTCATAAAAGATAGAATAAAATTGGGCTTACAATTTCAGAGGATTAAGAGCCCCCTATGGTGGAGTAGCTTGGCAGCAACAGCAGGTGTGTTGGCAGGAGCAGTAATTGAGAGTTCACATCTCCAACTACAAACAAGAAGCAAAAAGGGACACTGGTGATGACTTGAGTCTTTTGAAACTGCAAAGCCTACCCCTAGTGACAAATTTCCTTCAACAAAGTCACACCTCTTAGTCCTTGCCAAACAGTTCCAATATGTAGGGACCAAACATTTAAATACATGAGACTACAGTGGCATCCTCATTTGAAGCACCATACTGGGGATTGATACAAGTAAGTAAAACCTTCAGTGGTTATGATACTTGAAAAAAGACCATATTCAATATATAAATAATGTATATGGCTTTTCCATTTTGGTTATTCACAGTCTATGTAGAACACAGGGACGACATTCAAGCTTAGAATAATATTCTTGTTCAGTAGAAGGGACACAAGTCAAAATCCAGGTTGTCAAAACACTTGGAAGTCTAGAGGATAATTGTATAAATGGGATACTTCAAAATTTACCCATGATCTGTCATTATCTCTTAAACTCCATTTGTAGATCTGAGTCCAGGGAACACACAGAAAACATAGTTAGAAAGTTAAGAGTAAAGCAGAAAGCTGGGCCTGGGAAGACCGCTAAGCTGTTAAAAGGGGCAATCTGAGGACCTGAGATTGATCCCTGAGATCCATGTACTGAAAGGGAAAAACAGATTCCTGTAAGTTATTTTTCGAATGATTCACACACATATGTGCACACACAGGAGCATACATACAATAAATATGTGAAAACATTTTAAATGTAATCAAAGACATTCATGATGGCATGAAAATGTAATGTCTGTATTTGAGACGTTCAGGGTCTTCCTTTGCTACATAGGGACATGAGATCCCAGCTCTCTGGAAGCATTGGGGAATGAAGGCAGATGTTTTACAATGTGCTAAGAAGATACATATGGATATTCATATCCTGGCAAGTAATAGGGGTTTGCTGAACAATTTAAAAATTAGAGTAGATCCATCTTGAGAAGTGAAGTCATCCTTCAGTGCTACAAATGTATACCAAGACAGAACTCAGTCTTTTTCCGGGTAGAATAACACCATCCAGATTGTATACATTATTATGATGTCCAGTCTATAATCACAAACTGCTAGACAGGCAAGAGCCATGGAAGAACAACTCCAGAATCAAGAAATGGAAAACAATGCTGATATCTGATGATTACATATTATTCACATATCGATACTAGCTGACAAGGAATCCAAAAGAACAGCTATAATGTGATTCCAAATTTGTATAAAAGTATGAATTTAATGGCTAGAAAGATGAGGAATAACATGACACAGAAAAAAGTAAAATGAAAAACCAAACAGATATGCTTGAGAACCTGCCTCAGTTGTTGATTGCTTGCCTATATGTGTGGTGCTGTGGTTTTCCTCCACAGCACTGCAAAAAACATACAAAGAAAATTAGAAAACCTGTTAGAACCACATTAAAAAATGAAATCTTTGGTATCTTATCCTTGTATTTTTTTCCAATGCATTAATATCAAACATAATTATTTCTTTGTACCTATGGATTAATAATTGATAAAGACCTCTTTCCCCATAAATTCATATTTCTCTTGCCAATCATATAAAACAGGCAGATAACATTATTATTGATAGGTTCAAACTTACAATAGTTCAAACAATGATTCTCCATTTTTTCAATAGCATGAAAATGATAGTACATTCGGTAGAAACTATACTATGGATTTTGTGCTTTTCAGAGCTAAGAAGTGTGTGTGGTTTGATATGCTTGTATAGCTGAGCTTCTTGATTGAAGTAACTGAACACATTTGGGATAGCCAAAATAAAGCTATGATATGAGTTAGGATAAATATATAAAATATATTTTTACTTTATTTTTAGTTTACAGTAGGTTTGTTGAGAAGTTGCCACATGGTAAACAGAGAAGCATCTGTATAAATGGTGAGCATAATGTATGGTAATAATAATTCCTTAGTAATAGTTGCAATTAAGACTCAGGAACTGAGTGGTGGTGCTTGGAAAGCGGGGACAGGAGGTAGATCTCTGTGAGTTCGAGGCCAGTCTGGTCTACAGAGCAAGTTCTGTAACAGGATACAAAGCAACAGAGAAACCCTGTCTGGAGAAAACAAGCAAGCAACCAGCCAACCAAACAACAAAAACAAAAGACAGGTTTAGGGAAATGGTTCAGTGGGTAAAAGTGTTTGTTCTTTCAGAGGACCCATATTTGTTTCCCAGTGCCCATGTAGCAGTATACAACCATTCATAACACTAGTTTCAGGAGATCTCTTGACTTCCAAGGTATAAACAACTTTTAAAAAATAGAATTATGGTTGATGTCTATGGTGTTGTTTTTATTTCTGTGTGGTGCTGGAGGTGAAACATGGGACCTCACAATGCTGGCCAAATGTTCTACACTGAGTCATATTTTTGGCCCAGAATCACAATACTTTTTTAATATCGTTGAAAAATATTTTAATTAAGGTTTCCTATCCCGCCATTAAATACAAATATTTATTTACCATTTGTCTTTGAAGAGTAAAGAGCAGACGCTGAGAAAAATTATATTTGGTTATTTTACTTTGCAAAATTATGAATCCAGTGGAAGAAACAATCACAGTTAAAATTGGCTAACGGAAGTTAGCTTTTCAGTTTTTGTTTGTTTGTTTTGGTTTTTTGAGATAGGGTTTCTCTATCTAGCCCTGACTGTCCTAGAATTCACTCTGTAGACCAGGCTGGCTTTGAACTCACATCTGCATCAGCCTCCAGAGTGCTGGGATTAAAGGTGTGCCACCACTGCCTAGCAGTAAACTGGCTTTTAATAAGGTGGTTTACTTGCTGCTTTTAACTATTGTTGGTAAGAATTATTCATGAGATTAATGGTCACAACTAACCTTTAATGGATTTTTTACTTTTAAAATTAGTATAGTTGCTAAAGTATCATATTTTTCAACCTTTGTGTGAAGTAGTGCATTTGATTTTGAATCAACATATAAATTGAATATACTCAATCATAACAAATGTTCTTTAAATATGTGCTATATAGCACAGAGAATTTTTTTAAACCTGGGGTCCATGGATCTAGAATTGGATATCCCATGTTTTTGTTTTTTGCTAAATAGTGACAAATTAGAAAGTATACATTTGAGATTAATACTAATTAGATTACCTGTTTTTGTGCTATCTTTCTGAAAGTACAATCCTCTAAATTAATATCATATACTATACAAGGAATTAATTTAGCCATGATATTCAGAAAACTTGGAATCCTGTATAAGAAAACCCTATAGATATTTTATAATCATGCATTTTTCATGTATCATATACAGTTGGTTTTTGCCTCCACAAAATATTGGATATGCCTTCATTTAACACAAATCTACAAACTGTCATCTGAAAACTTTTGATACTGTGTGGATGAATTTCAGTCTAGCAGATGGGTTTACTAAATTGCAGTTGGTGGGTCTGTGGATCCTTGTAAAGTATTTTAAAAATTTACTCATCAATGCATATTGAGTTGATACTTTTAAGAGGACATGGTTTCTTACTTTCAGATAAAGTGTAACTTTGATCCACCAAAGCATAAGAACTCTTGCTATTTGTCTTTTCCTGAAGATGGTGAAACACTTCCACCTCCCTGTTGCTTTCAACATTGACTAACTCATGAAAACTCAGGTTAAAGAGATACCTGGAGGGGGGTGGCATTCAGAGGTGAGGAAGGACACATGACTCATGAGAAGATATAAAGCTACTTGAGCCGGGCAGTGGTGGCGCACGCCTTTAATCCCAGCACTCGGGAGGCAGAGGCAGGCGGATCTCTGTGAGTTCGAGGCCGGGCTGGACCGATAGCCTCCAAAACAATACAGAGAAACCCTGTCTCGTAAAAACCAAAAAAAAAAAAAGCTACTTGATTTTCTAGTTTCAACTAAGTCATGTTTTCCCCCTGTGCAGAAATACTTGTATTCAACTCTCAGTACTGCTGTAGCAATGAAGCATTTTCTTTGCAATCCAAAATAATCCAACATGCATTCTTCCTTTGAAGGCAGTATTTATGAAAGTTTGTATCTCTTTTTAAAATTTTACTGTCCATTACCACATTAGCTGTGGTTGCACACCCCTAATCCCAGAATTTAGGAGGGATGAGCATCTGGACCTATGAGTTTTAAGCCAGTCTAGTCATAAAAGCAAATTAAGAGGACAGAGCTACACAGTAAGGCTCTGTCATTTAAACAAGCAAATAAACATGTTAAAAATGGTTTGTGGAGATTTTTCAGTGGTTCAGAGGATCAAGGTTTGATTCCCAGCACCCATATTGTAGCACACAACTGTAACTGCTGTTCTAGTAAATCTGATACCTACTACTGGCCTCCATAGGCTTGGCATACACATCGTACATAGATTTACATACAAGAATGAAACTTATGCACACACACACCTGTAGGAGGAAGTCTGATGCCGCCATTAAACATGTGATTCCAAATTTCTAATATTCTCATCCTTAGCAAGTACCTCAATAGCATGTAAACTGCCTTCTACAAATGATATTCTATCAGTTAGTTTATCATTGCTCTCAGACATGGAACAATTCTTTTCTGCTAGCATTTCAATTTTATGTTCCAGTCTTTGTAATTTGCTAGTGAAATCATCAAACATGGAACCGTGTTTTTCGTTAAATGTTTCCACATTATGTTCCAATTTTTCAATTCTATCTGTGGAACACATTTTTCCTGATAGTAATTCAATTTTGTGTTCCGTCTCTTTAAACCTGTTCATCAGACCTACATTATCATTTTTAATATCCTGAATATTATCTACCAACCCTTTCTTACTCTCCTGCAATGAATTTTGCACTTCCTGAATCCTTTGTATTAAGATTTCAAAACTATCCTGCGATGACTGTATGACCTGTATAAGTTTATTCCTATTTTTGAGCCATTTCATTAACAAAATTATATTGATTATGAAGCTAATAATCACCATCGTGGGTAGGAAGTACCTTTCAGGTAGGTCCTCAACCCTTTCTAAAATCCCATCCATACAAAAAACAAGAAAATTCTTAACATCCTGCATCATAGTGTTAGCTGTTGACATTGTATAAAGCAGTTACGTTTGTTACCAATGGAGTAATTCAGGCCGAAATCAACAGGCTGCCAGCGAAAGAGCACGTGGCCAGAGTCAGCAGGCCGCCAGTAAAACAGCACGTGGCCGCGAGAGAAATCTTGGAATACCGCCTAACCTTACCGGCAAGTAGAAGGTGCTGGTTCCTGGTGGCAGGAATCGTGCCTTGCCGAGCGAAGTGGTGAGGAACTAAGCAAAAGGAGAGTCCACGTGTGCCTGGTCGGGCCGAGAGAAGCCGCTTTTCTGGGCACCTGGATCCGTATTCCAATCCCGCTCCCGACACCAAACTGTAGGCTAAACGGACACTGTAAGGATACGCGACACACAATTACTGACAGTAAAGCTAAGTATTTAATGTAGAAAATTACTCACAAGATACCAAACCCAGAGGAGCCAAACAGTTCTCAGCTAGCGGCCGGACCGGAAGCCGAACTTCAGGAAAAGAGACCGAGACTTCCTGTGTGCTGTCTTTTATGCCTTCCCCCGTAACGCCCCTAGCCATGCCCAAAAGTGGGCCTGGCTAGTGACGTAGTTCCACCTACGTACGTATACGTCTTTACGTCCAGCCGTATACGTCTTTAGTCCTGCCTAAAGTGGGTGTGGTTAGCGGTGTGGTAAACCGCCCTTTTATTACCTCATCTGTATGCGCCTCTAATAAGTCACATGTTTAATGGTGGCATCAGACTTCCTCCTACACACACCCATAAAAACAAAAAAATGCATGAAATTTTTCTATTTGAGTGTTATTTAGCAAATAAATTGTATTTATATACATAAGATAAACTATGGTTTTCACTCTCTATATAGTAAACAAATGAAGAAAACGGAATAAAATCTACTCGTAACTAGACAGCTGTATAAAAATCAATTGAAGAAGAATAAAAGAATATTCAGTTGGTTATTTCTTAAAATCATTTCGCTTCTAAAATCAGTAGCTGGGTTTTTGCAGTCCACTGCTAGTGTAGAATGAGAAAGCTGTGTTTGTGTTTCCCAAGGTTGCTCTGCAGTAACGTCTGTTTTCTTTGTGTGTTTACAGAAATTATGAGGCAGTAGTTCCCCTACACATTTGAACCTATCAATATGTTTCTACCCTACCTGGTTCAAGAAAAAGGGATTTCAAATTCTTCTAACTGCATCCATAAAAGAAGATGATTATGTAAAGTGAAAAACAATGCTAGTGTGAAGTTAAGTATTAGTGTATTATTTAAGGTTCAAGCCACTTTACTTTTGATTGGCATGCAATTTTAAATTGGATTGCAGTTCTCCTGGTAGGCAAATCAAAGGGGGGATTCATTCAGTTAAAGTGGGAAGGAAGGCAGGGCAGACACCTAGCATGAACTAGCAGAAAGCAGCTTGAATGACAAAGGACTTCTTGGACTCAGATGACATAACTTCCACAGACTTTGTCTACAGGAATGTGTGTATGCACGTGTGTGCGTGCATGTGTGCATTTGTGTGTGTGTGTGTGTGTGTGGTAGTTTTAATGTAATTGTCTCCCGTAAGCTCATAATGCGTGGCACTATTAGGAGGTATGGCTTTGTTGGAGTGGCTATGGCCTTTTTGGGAGAAGGTGTCAACATGAAAGTGAGTCTCATACATGCTCCAGACATGCCAAGTGAGACAGTCCATTTCCTATTGCCTTCTGATCAAGATGTAGCCAGCACCCCATCTGCCTGCACACTGCCATGATGATAATGGGCTGAACCTCTGAAATGTAAGCGAGCCACCCCAATTAAATATTTTCCTTATAAGACACAAGTGGTCACGGTGGGTCTTCATAGCAATAGAAATCCTAACTAAGACACGGTGGTCTTTTGCTTCCTTTCAAAAATCATAGAGAACTGCTTGAATTGAGAACTACAGTGAGTCTCTACCACATTATTCTTAACTATCAGGAAACTATGGTAGAATAGACAGACAGGGAAAATTAAAGGGACGGGAGAAAGTTAGAACTCATGTCCTGAGAACTGCTGATGGAGAGTCAAGAACTTTGGACTCAAATGACAGAATCTAACAGCTGTGCAGACTGCCTTTTATAGAGACAAGAAGCCCCTCCTGAGACTGATGTCAAACATGGGTCTGAAAACAGCTAACAAACCATGCTGTAGGCCAAAGCATATGAGACCTTTGAGTTTCATCCGTCAGTGTTTTCCTTCACCCAGAAACCTGTGCAGGACACCTCACACATGAATGTGTAATTTCATTTGCAAATGGAAGTTCTTTAAGAGAAATGAAACTAATTCATACTTTTTAAAAATTTATTTCTAAAGTTTATTATTTTATGATTATATTTCATCCATATATCACCCCACCTCTTTCTAAATCCCTTTTTATTCTCAGGAAGTGCCTCTCCTAATTTCATCATTTTGCCCTCTACTTGGTTGCATCTCCTCCTTATGATGGTTAGGTTTAATATTGAACTTGAGACAATCAAGCATCATCTAGGTAGAGATTCTTAATGAGGGCTATTCTAGATCAGGTTGTCTGTGTGGGAGTGTGGGAATGATGTGGAAATAATTATGTAGGAAGGCTCATCCTAAAAGTGAGCAGAATTGTTTTCTGGGTTCCGGTCCTGGATTGTATACACACACACACACACACTATATATATATATATATATATATATATATATATATATATATATATATACACACACACACACATCTATGTATGTATGAGCTGAGCAAAGCATACATGCATTCTCTCTCGGCCATTGAATGTAACTGTGACTAGCTGCTTTGACTTTCCCCTCAATGGTGAATTCTAACCTTGAGTTGTAAATTGAATAAACCTTTGTTCCCACCAAGTTGCTTTTGTCAGGAAATTTTATCACAACCACAGAAAAGGAGACTATGGTTTCACATAGCTGCTCGACCTCAACCTCTCTAAACATTCCTGACCCTACTTTGTGCCAGATTCTTTGCGGAGCATAGAGTGGGGGTGCGGTTTTATGACAAATTTTCCCCTGACCAAGTTGACCATTTTCCTGAAAGGGCAGAAATAGAAAGGCAGATTATTCTGAGATCCTGCCATCGGAAACACCTCCTCTGAGACGTGGACTGGCAAATAAGTCTGAGAAGGCAGAAAGGATGAGCAAGGGGTGTCTCATCTTGTCAAGAAGACAAGGAGGTGTGTCTTGCCTTGCATTTAAAACCAGCCTGACAGTATTCCCAGTGGGCAGTCAGGACTTGCTATTCTGAAGTTCTCATGAGGTAGTACTGGAAATTCATAGACCACTCAAGTACCCTTAAAAAAGGCAGAAAAGAAAACCAGACAACCTGGGCTTTCAATTTAGATGTAGGAGACAAAAAGTGACAGCCTTAACATTCACTAGATTTAAAGAGGTAATGCTGAATGGTAAGTTATATTTTAAAATATCAAACAGCAAAATGTTAAACTTTCCCAAAATATGAAGGTTTTAAAATGTCAAAACTAGGCATTTAAAAAAACCTGCAGATATAATTTCAAAGTGACAAAATTAAATAGAATGTCTCTCTGAAAGATACTTTTGTTAAGATGAAACAGTGCATGAATTCAGTAGATGATTGTTCCTTGCTCTGGCATTTACTTTCCCTTCTCTGTAAGGTCTTGGGAGCGACCGCTCTATGGCATCTGCCAGTTGGACTGAGGGCTGTTTCTGTAGCTCCTTGTAACAGTATGGGACCCACTATAGCTTGAATACTCTGAAATTTCTCTGATATGCAACACCACAAGGACACAGAAAGAAAACTATCGTAAATAAGATTGGGCAAAACAGCTCAACTCTTCTTCAGACTTGCGTCTGTCTCCCGCTTTCTTGGTCTAGGTTCATGTAATCTTTTCTTGCTTTGCCACCTTTTGGCTTTTCATACAGGTCTGTTTCCCAGCCAGTGCTCAGATTGGTGTCTCTAAAGAAACCTCTACCTATGGCAAAGGCTGTTTACACTAGCGTGACTTTTCACTTCATATTTGCTTGGTTAGAGTAAAACTCTTAATGTATCATGTTTTTCAAATTTTATAAAAATATATAACATTTACACATGCATGCGCATGTGCACACACACACACACACACACACAGAGTTTCTGAGACAGGGTATTATATAGCCCAGATTGATCTTGAATTCGTTATGTAGCTGAGGATGACCTTGAACCCCTGATACTCCTCCCTGTACTTCTCAAATACTGGGGTTACCATACCTTGTCACCACACCTGTCTTCATTCTACTTATAAGTATTGTAAAATTAAGCACAGTGCCCTTTGTGTTTGTTTGTTTTTAAATTAGTATTTCATTCATTCAAATAAAAAATTCTACATTCTTTTAAATAATCAGACATACTTCCAAAGGTAGTCAGTGCTCTGAAATATTTTATGCTGCAGTTACACATTTAATGTAAATCCCTTTGATACATTTCCAGTGATCTGATAGGATACCTCAATATGCAAATAATCAAGGCATGTATCTCTAACATCACTCTTAGTGTTGGAATATATTGCAAAAGGCAAGAGGCTTACTACACATTTGAGGATAGCATGGGCTATATGGAAAAATCATATGATACTTTAAACACACAGAATAGACAAGCTCTGTGAAACATCCTAAATTCTGTTTAATCTCATCAATTTTCTTATTCTCTTCAGCTTAATACCAGGACTAATATGTCAAAGTATGTTAAATCCATTACATAAAGATTATTCATAATCCCAACTCAAAATGACTAGTTCTACAAGTTTGTGTTCTTTTAATTGTTTATGTAATGCAGACTATTCCCAAATGTAAGCCATTGATCACTGTGGTAGAAACTTCTGTTTCCTATATCCTCTCATATATCATTTCTCTCATTCTACTAAAATAGATCTTGACAGTCTTTTTCCATGAGGCAACAGATTAAATACACATAGTGTCTCTATCAGACTGGTTTTTTTTTGCTTATTTGTTTTAAGATCTGTAGCCCTGGCTGGCTAGGATCTTGCTATGTAGTCTGTCTTTGAACTCACAGAGATCCACCTGTCTCTCCTCCTGAGTGCTGGGATTAAAAGTATGTGCCACCCCACCAGGATATTGCTATGACTATAATGTTCTTTTTATTATTCTGCGTGTTTTTAAGTGTGTTTGTGTGTGTGTGTATGTGTGTGTGTGTATGTTGCTTGCACAAATATAAGTGCCCTGGGAGATGCAAAGGCTTCAGAAGCC